ATTTCCTCAGGTGAGGGTGGGCATGCTAGGGAGGGATAAATTCCTGTCACATTTGTTGGTCATCTCAGGTTTCTAAAGGTGCTAAAATAAAGAGACCAAGTTCCTGTATCATTCAATTTCTACAATCACAAAATTTATCGCATAGAGATTATTGGATTACCCATCTGTATGAGTCAGGAGTGAGAGAGGAATGAATTTTCCTGGAACTCAGAGTCTGATTGTGTGTTTCAAAATTAAGGGTTTAAAACTATGACAACTACACAGACCAGAAGGATAAGTATTTCCAGCTCATTCTTAGTATCCCTCATGTCTCAGTGTGGGCTTTATATGAACTCACTATATCACTCCTCACTTTTTGCTTTGTTTTTATATTTGTTTAGCTTACTTTTGGCTCATTCGATCCTATGTTTAATGAAAATGGCTATTTCGCTACTGTCTACCAGACGGCTCTGAAAGACACATCACTGGCCACTGGGATGGCTTCTTTGATACTTCATTTCAGCTGGACCTGGGTTGGATTGGTCATCGAAGATGGTAAGAAAGGTTTTCAGTTTCTCTCAGATGTGAGAGATGAGATGGATAGAAATGGAGTCTGTGTAGCATTTGTTAAAATTATAACAAGTCTTCTTGTGTCCTATCTCTCAACCACACAACACCATGACTTTGTCACCAGGGAATCTTCTCCAGTACATGTAGTTATCCTTTACTATGACACTGAGAGTCTAAATAATATAAACCATCATATAGGACTGCATTTAGTAACATGGAGAGTTTGGATCACAAATTCACAATGGCATGCTGACCTAGCTGGGAGACACTTCATGTTGGAGACTTTCCATGGAACCTTCACTTTTTCACAACAACATGAAGAGATTTCTGATTTTGAAACGTTTGTCCAGAGAGTGAATCCTTCCAAATACCCAGAAGACACTTTCCTCACTTGGTATTGGTACCAGAATTTCCACTGCTCATTATCAGATTCTGACTGTATGGTGAAGGACTGTCCACCTAATGCCTCTCTGGATTGGCTACCTCATTTTGACACAGCCATGAGCGATGGGAGTTATAACACATACAACGCTGTGTATGCTGTGGCCCATGCCCTTCATGAGATGTTCCTTCAACAAGGTGAAATGGAACCAGCAAGAAATGGGAACACAATGCTATTTTACCCTTGGCAGGTAATGTTTTATTTATCACATTGCATCTCTTATTATGAACATCATTTTTAAAGTGGGTCCATTTGGTTTTCAAGCAAGCAGGTAAAAATCCTCTCTCAAAAACATGGGCAATTCTGTGTTAGTTTTATCACTGAGATAAAATTTGATCTGGTAATGAGTCAGAATCTTTGCTTTCCTTCTAAAAGTATCAATGTTTTGCCCACAATACAATTTCAATTTTTAAAAAATCTGAAACTTTACCTGGAGTTCTTAAGTAAAAGCAGAAAAGCACATGTTTTGTGGAGCACTTTATTGAATATTTTATATGAACTTTACATTTAATTCTGCAATTATCTGTAGTATTGATGACTTCATTTTAAATGCACAAGTTGTGGAAATAGCCAGAGTGAAAGTGCATTTGAAAAACCTTTATTTGTGTGCACTGTGCATTTACATAGGCTTTTTAGAGTATTACTTTTGAAACTGACATTTAAAAAGCATGTGGCAGTTTAACATCCATTATCTTTTACTTGTTCCACCTCCCTGGATAACTATATGAATGCTGCATTATAAGACAAGGATTAGAAATACCTATATTCAGGTTTTGTGTCTTAACTCTGAGGCCCAATTCATCACACAATCACTTCTTTTTTTTTTTAGATGCACTCCTTTCTGAAGAATTTGCAGTTTAAAAATCCCGGAGGAGACCAAATAAATTTAGATAAGAAAAATAAAGGGGATGCACAGTATGACATTCTCAATTTTTGGAATTTCCCAGAAGGCTTTAGACTTAGGGTGAAAGTCGGAGAGTTTTCCCAGCATGTTCCACTTGAGCAACAATTATCCTTATCAGAGGATATGATAGAATGGGCCACTGAAATTATAGAGGTATGTTAGAGTCAAACATGATATAATTTGTGGAACAAAGACAATCAAGTTCTTGATGTTTATTTTCAGTCCCATTCCTGATCAATCATTGAGAACACATGGAAATATCATTATTCTCCTTGCAATTTAAAAATATTTTACTCTGAAGATTTAGTGTTTTTGCATTATTGTTTAAATCTTTGATCCATTTTGATTTTAATTTAGTATATGATGAGAGACATGGATCTAGTTTTAGGCTTTGGTATTTGTAAAGCCAGTTTTTAGCATAGCTGTTATTCTAGAGCCTATCTTTCTTCTAGTGAATGTGTTTGGTCGTTTTCTCAAAGATTATATGACAAGATGTTTGGAGTGATTTCTGCATCTTGCCATCTGTTCCACTAGTTTGAGAAACTCAAAAAGTAAATAAGGATTGAGAAACTTACTTGGTTGGAGAAACTGGAAAAATACTGTACAAAAATATATCATAATTTTGGAACAGAATGAAATTGATAGAAAGAAAGAAAGAAAGAAAGAAAGAAAGAAAGAAAGAAAGAAAGAAGCTATAGATAGTGGAAAGGGCAGGCCAGATAACTCAGTGGACAAAAGTGCCTGTTTACACAGGTGCCGGGTACTGAGTTCAATCCCCAGAGTCCTGAACCAGCCCAGCCCCCAGGGCATCCTGGGAGGGTGACTAAGGCTGGGTACAGTAGCATCACACTTGTAACCCCAGCGCTTGGGAGGCTGAAAACAGGAGGATCACTACAAGTCTGATCTGTACAGTAAGACTCAGTAGACCATATACTAAATACATAAAAAAGAAAAGAATTAGGGAGTGGAGGTGAGAAAGAAAACAAAGGAAAAGAAAAAAGAAATGAAAAAACAAACAATAAAAGGAAAACAAACCTTTGTAAATAAGGAGGGGAACAGGAACTTTTGGGAGAGAAGCAGATTGGGAAAAAAGAGGAATAAATATATATCACATACAAGTAAAAGTTCTCTATGATGAATATATTCATTAAATATATCTGAATTGCACCAATAAATGTAATGTAAATAAAGAAATAAACAAAGAAATAATTTATTCCTTTGTCAATTTCTGGCTAATGGGAAAGAAATGTATGTATTAACTTTCTAAAAGTATTCATGTATATTATATCATTCAATAAATAATGAATTTAAGCAAAATTTTATATTCATTTATTTATACAAATTAAGTTTATAACTCTGTTGCAATGGATTAAGTAAAACTTTAAGAAGTTACCAACAGATATCAGACTTTCCTCAGACCCCACACTCTGTGTGCAGTGAAAGTTGCCATCCTGGATTCAGGAAATCCCCTCAGGAAGGAAAGTCTGCCTGTTGCTTCAATTGTACCCCTTACCCAGAGAATGAGATCACCAACGAGACAGGTAAGAGCCTCCCCCATGGACACATGCTCCACGTTCTTTTCTGTCCCCCAAGCATCCATAACATACACAATTTCAGAGAAAATGCTTGCTCCATATAGTTAGAAATTTCATTGTTTTACTCCATAGCCTTAGCTATGCAGGTGGGGACAAAAACACTCTGAGTCCTTTTGACTGTACTCTTTATAATTTTTTCTTTTTCTTGCTGGTGATAAAATACAGTGATGGCTTACCACCAAACTACATCCCCAGTCTTTTCATTATTACTTTGAGTTAAGCTCTTACTACATTATAGAGGCCTGTATCAGGCATGTGATCCTCAGGCTTTACCTTCTTGAGACATCACATCTGGCTTCTTTCATTTATTTTTCTAGACTCACTGAAAGAGTTATGTCCTCAGTTGTGCATCGTAGCCCTCACCTTTAATCTCAGCACTCTGGGAGCCTGAGGGAGGAGGATTAAAAAATTTAGTGATTAAGGGAGGGCCCACTAAATGATCAATGTGGAGGCCCTGCATTCATTCTCCAGTATTGTGAAAAATAGAGGCAGCATTTTGTGCTGGAGAAAATGTCTTTACTCCACCCCATAATCTGTAAGTTCTGTGCCCATTATGAAACTTCAACCACACTCTTATTAAGCACCAGTGTTTCATAGTCTTTGAAACTACATTATGTAACAC